AGGGCCTAACTTATAGGATATTAAATAGTAATATTAGGCAATTAGGTAGGACTTGTTAGTCCCACTAACAGAAAATATAGCTAGTTACGTTTTGGATAAATTTCGTTGTTATAAAATGAAAAAAAAAAAAAACAGAAATAGTGATTGTTTGGATAATTACCAAATGTAGTAAGAGTTTTTGAAATTCGCTCATTAATAATGCAATATTTTTTTGAAATTTGCTTTATATTAGTGATATATTTTATAACAATTCATTTTGTGTTAGTGATATACAACAAAACAAAAAATACAGAGTGAATTATTAATGTATCACTAATACAAAGCAAATTTCAGAAACTATTGTATCGTCGATACAAAATGATTATTGCTATGTTTGGTAATTCTCTTGAACTCTCGCTATGTTTAGTAAATATAGTGTATAAGTTTGTCTGATTAATTTGGTAACTACATCTAAGAAACAAAATTGATCCGATAACTATTCTTTTTAGGTCTAAGTATTTGGTATTTGAAATTTACTAATTCAATTAATCCAAATTCTTGTCAATAGGCTCATTACAGAGATGAAACATTCACTATAAAAAAATTACACCATTTTTAAAGACTCAAATCCAATCTCTCCGATAAAAAAACGGAGGAATTAATTAATATTTCATCCATCTCATTACACATCATCTCTTGTTCCCTTTGTATCCAAAAATATAAATAGGAATGGATATTCTTATTCTTGAAAGTACTATAGGGTGTGACTTGTGAGTGTTGCATGGAGGGAGGATAATATGATAAGGAGTCGAATAATAATTACAGGCAGAACTATTTTATCATGCATTTGATGGGAGATATATATTAGATAATCTAAGAATTAAATATTCCACCTTAGTGATGAAATAACTTGTTTCTAACGAAACGAACCTAAAGAGATAAAAGAGAAGTGTATAGTTAGAAAGAAAATTCCAAATAAGATGACTTTAATTATATAGTCAGTCTGCAAAAAATGAAAGATGGATAGAGATAGGATGGGAACTGTCTTCATTTTCCCGACAGTTTTGGGTGGTAAAAATAGACCTTTCAATTTAATGCTGAACTGAAAGAGACTGCTATTTCTTCTTTTCCTGTAGGTTTTTATCTTCATTATATTATACTTTTATAATCTATACTTTTTTGGCCCTACTTTTGAATAACATGGTGAAAAAAATTCACTTTCATTAATCTTATGATTCACTTATATATCTGTGCCTGTCCTTACTTAGGCTGACACCCACACACATACATGTTTGAAGTAAATGCATTTTTAGGGTGTAAAAACATTCCTCCCTTCGTTTTAATTTGTTTGTTTTAGAACCATGCTAGTATAAAAATTATGAGTTCGTCTCGATCAATCAAGGAACTTTAGTCAAAATTCTATATTTGTGTCTTATAATTTAAATAAACTAGAATTTTGAATCTTTAAACTTTAAATTTTGGCTTCGGCTCTATAACGCTTTGTCTTGTTTTAACTTGGTAAGGAGTTAAAAAAACTTTTGAATCTTGTGATTGTAAATTAAAGATATATCAAATATACCTGCCTACTAGTGGTCATTCCTGGCACTGCTCCGATAATGCAATTCCGGGAGGAGTCAGTAGTAGGACATGGATCCCTTCGGATATGGAGAATGAGAGACGTTGGATCGGAAAAATACCCTTTATTATTTTGATTTTAAATATGTTAAGTAGAAAGTTTAAAATTAAAAAAATTGTCAAAAAATGAAAGACTAAAGAGACAGTCTTTCTGATTAAATGAAAAGTATGACAAATAAATTAAAATGAGTATTTGACATGTTTAAAATATATTTACGTAATAATAGCAGCATTACTAGTTAACAATCCATGTGACAACTAAAGATTATTAACAAATAAAGCAACTTCTAATCTATATGATTTCTTTTGCTGATTTATTTACAATATATACATTTGGTATAACATACATATAAACAAAAATATATGATTTGTTGATAGAATATTTTCATTGTATAAACTATTATAGTATAATCTATTTAAAATATATAATTAGAGGTATATTTTGCAGAAAACATGAAATTGTTTATGTATATCTTTATATATACACAGTATAATAAGGATACAGGTAATAACGATATACATGGTATACCATATATAACCAAACTCAAAACAAGGATCATTAATGTTAAACAGATTCTTTAATAAGTGAAGAAATTAACAATAGTATGAAAGAAAAAGGAATATTCATTAATAACGATTATTGAACGTAATTATTTTTTTATTTAGTGGGGGGAAATGATGATGAAAGATAAGATGATATGTATTAATCTTAAGATATGCTAAATTTGCAAAAAGGTAGGTCATTTTAGGAATAAATAAAAAGAATCCTAGAAAATGATTGATCATGTAAAAATCCCCATTTTTTTGTAGGTACTAATTCACTTGGACATATATACATTTCGTACATAATGTACAACTGCTCTATTACCTATCCAAAGTCAAATATTTCGTGGTATGAATAATAAAATTAGTTTATAAAAATATAAATAAGTCAATTGATTTGACTTATTTAAAAGGTAAGTTGAGATACATAATTCAAATTTATTAATGAAAAACTTAATAAAATTATTTGTTTGAACTTCTTTTTTATTTAATATGCTAACCTACTGTTTATTTTATATTGTACCAATTTATCTCAATTTAAATAACTTTTGAACGGATAAATGACCCGCCATTTGACACCCTATCAGATAAGGTTAGTGAAATATTAGGTAAATGAAGTTAACATTCACTACAGGGTCAAATCCCGGAAATCCTGTAAGAGAGGACACATTACTGTTCCCACAAATAAAATGAATTGTCAAAAGCATAGTGATTATAGGGTGAACGTTCGGTATTTCGTTTGAAATTTTTTAATTTTGGATTTAGTAATTTGGTAATTGGCATCTAAAAGTAGATATCATATATTAAATTTTAAATTTTGATTTGGTAATTGGTATATTAAATTTCGATTTGATATGATATTTGGTAATACCGTATTGGAGTTGTAGCCCATTATATTACGAAGTTAATACTATTTCTTCAATTATTTCTATATTTTATTGTGGAAGCACGATATAATAGAAGATCAATAAGTAAGAATATATTAAGAAAAAACAAATTGATACAACTAAAAGATATATATTTGGGTTGTTTATGTTTATTCTTTGACTTTCTCTTTGAACTTGTAATCTTGTACTAATGAGTACTTGACATGTTGATTTATGACCTTCATTAAGTAAATAATTCAGTATTCAAGAAATACCTAATACCTAATAGTACTAGTATTTCATACCAATCCAAACATAATTCTAAGATTCTACTCCCGAATACCATACATAATACCAAATTATCAAAAAATTTGATTCGATTCAATTCGATAATTCAGTTTTTATATTTTATGCTAGCCCTATTAGTGAGGCTAAGGAAGAGGAACTAGTTGGTTTGCTTCATTTAAGTGAAATTGTGGATGATTTAATTAAGGGCAAATTACATTACTATTAGAAATATAGGTTTTTTCTATCAACGTGAATCAATAGAAAAATTGTGTTATAAAACATGATTTTTATCATATTTTCATCGAATTAGCAAAATCAAAAAAATGTGTAGTGGAAAACAAATTCTCCTTGAAACTTTGGAAATCACTAGTGAATATTTTTTTCTTTGTCACTAATACATCAAAATATCTGTAAAAAATAATCACCGAACATTTTTAAATAGAAAATTTCAATGAAAAATATGATTTTTTAGTAATGCATATTTAGCCGGTAAGCTAAAATAAATTATATTTGCTAGCTATAAAAAAAAATACGTTAATATATAAGAGAAAATATTTTGTTACAATAATTTTGATAGATGGCTATTTATATCAATTTCTCTTTATTAAAGAGAAATTTATACAAATACACTACTAGTTTAGAAGCTAATTACTTAGCTATACACTCTAGTTTACAATATTATGAATCTTACCAGATTTTGATGCGTGAAGACACATTCAGATACATGTATTCAGGATATATGAGGTCAAAATTTGGTGTAATTTGTTCTAGATATATCAAAGTGTATTTGCATGTATCTGGATTAAATAACAAATCTCGCTCACCACTCTTCTAATACCAGATACATGTGAATAAAACTAGATACATATAGATACATGTATCTAGTGTGTATCTAATGTGATTCACATTTATCTGTGATACTTGACTATCTCACTCACTTCTCTCCTTATTTGTGTGTCTGATAGCAAAAAACAAATACCATGTACACATGGTAAAAAAAACTGTTAATTAGTGATAAAAACGTAATTATTTGATAATATAAATAGATAGTATATATGATATGGGTATATGTCTAATAATGTATAATTGACATTGACAAAAAAGTTGAGTTTCCTCAGTTGAATTCGATCCAATAAGTTCTGGGCCACTAGCCCACTACAGCTAGATAAAATAGAGGTCATTTGCATTTCTGCTCCATTTTGGGTTGGTTTTTAATTTTAAGTCTTTATAACAAATAATTTTATTTCACAATGCATAAATTTATATTTTCGTATTATAATATTTCACGTTATTTCAGGGAAGGACATCCCATTAGGCATAAGTTTGATTGCTAAAATACAAAAATGAAAGACCAAATTATTTGAAGAACAAAATGTGCAATCATATGGACTTGATTGAAAACACTCTACTTTGGTCTCTCAAACCAATATTGTATTAGAATCCATAATTTTAAAAATACAATGAGCTCAGTGCTAAAAATCTTAAAGGTCAAACACATCAAATTTAAATCTTGAATCCGCCTCTAGATAAGAAAGTTGTTCAACGATTATAAATTTACACACAACATAATGGAGAACGAATATAGGATTTAATCAAGAGCTCATTATATGGCACAAAAAAAAAAAGGGAAGAAAAGTTTGGCCATAAAAAAACATAAGAAGATTGTAAGCATCTATAAATAGTTACTTTTCCTACATTTTAAGCATGATCTAAGAGAAGCTATTATAAGCTTTGATGTTACTCTATGTTAGTAGCTGGTGGAAGGAGATATTGAAAGCCCATTGAAGCAAATCTGCTGTAATTTAAACACTATATTCACCATTGTACAACTTCATTCGTCGAGGAGTACCTCTGTATTGCAAATGGGACATGTCTGCCAAATCAAAGTGATAGTTTGGTGTTAAGTCTCGGAGAAAACGATGTAAATTTCTGATACATAGAGGCTAGACTACTAGTTACTGACATACCTTGTTGATGCTCAGCCATTTGGAGCCACATTCAGTGTGGTATATGTGCTTGCATGGGAAGTTTATTTGTCGATCCCCTCGTTTATACCTCATTTGACAGATGACACATCTAGCTTGCATGCATAAAAACTCATTTAATCATTGAGTTGAAAGAAAAAGGATTTGATCAGCAGAAAATTGTGAAGGTGTAACAAAACATCCTTTAACTAACTAAGAATACATGGATTGGAGCAACTGAAATCCATGTACGATGTGCACTAGTGATCGCAAAACCAGTCCACAAGTATATTTCTACGCGGGTAATGAGGAGAAACGGGAACTAGAAAGCATGGTTAACGCTAAAATCATCAAGGAGAGGCCTCATTTTGGATTAACATAGACACTATGCTACTCGGATTAAGTGACCGAGTAACTTAATTTTGAACCATAGATGATGTTGCCTTGTCATATGCATTTGTTTGGCTATCTTACCAGAGACCATACTAGTTTCTTCGGTTCACATAGACCTACTTTCTGTGGTACACTCAAACAATTGAAGAACAAAGTCAATGAATTGCAACTCTGTGCGGGGTTCCCTTCAAGGATCAGCTAAAAAGTATGACTCGAAAACATTTTGGTCCCTTATGTGTGTTATTGAAGGGGATATGTAGGAGGAAAAAAAAGATCTTAGCTCAAGTCCAATAACAATATTTCTTACATCAATGCTATACCAGTGATTGAATCATATCTACTACGTGTGGCAGTACACTGCTATCTCTCTTCGGACTACAACGAAGTATGATTTAATTTAAATAGGTAACTTCAATGCTTGATTTTTACGAAAGAAATCAATCTACAGAAAACAGATGCAATAAAAAGGAAAATTGCACCTTGTACAAACCTAAGTTGCGCAGACTCTTCACTTTGTTGCTACACCAGTGACGAATTCTCCAAAAATACACTACTTTTGGAGAATCCGACACGCGTCCACTGACATTTTTGAAGAGTCCGAGCAACTTAGGTACAAATAATGGTTTCAAAAGAAGCGTGGGTATAAAAATTACCTTTCTTCTGATTTTTTCCTAGAAAAGATTCCATTAGACTTGTATTTGGTTGTTGGAAGCAAATTAATTAGTTCCTCAGGAAGTCCTCGACTTTCAGTTCCAACTGTTTCACCTAAATCAAGTAACTCCTGCAACAGTAAAGTAGAAAATCAGTAATTAATCCATGAAATCGGTTCAGCTGGTCATAAGTAAATTTGCATGAATATTCACTGGTTTCACATTACAAGTGGACGAATAGTAAGACGAATATCATCAACCCAACACAAAGAGTTCACACAACACATTCTTGAGCCAACGTGTCAAAAGAATGAGATGTACATTGCATCTCAGACTACCATTCAGCAGATAACACAAAATGTAGAATAGGTGATTCCAAAATTGCAGATACTACATGTTTTTGGATTAAAGTGAATAGCTTTATTATAAGAAATAAGAAAAAACTCTTTTGTTCTGTGCCGACCCATTTTTCTTTCTGTTCTCCTAGGTCCTTTCTTCTCTCGGTCTTTTTCTGCTGTTCTTTTTTCATTTTTCATCAAGGAAGAAGGGCTTGAGGATTTGCATTGTGCAAGACAGTTGTAAGGATATACGGCGATGACCTCTACCTCACTCTGTACACAACTTCAATATACTAGAAATTAGGAAAAGAGAACATAAAGTGAAAAGAATCAAATGACAACAAAAAAGAAATGCAAAGACAATTGAATGACAACGTAATGATGTATAAAACATAACATTTAGCTATTCTTAGTAGGCGTTTGGCCATGAGATACCATATCACGTTATGGAATCAGCGTTTGGACATGCAATTTAACGTTGATTCCATCTCATGATTCTATATCATGAGATGTGATTCCATATTCACCAAAAACCATGATATGGAATTATATGAGAATACCATATCATGATTTGAGATTTTTTAAACACAAAAATTGATCCACAAGTTTATATTTTATTAAAATAACCCCACGGACTTTTGGAGCTTGGAAAAATAGCAAAATACTGAAACAAAGCACGAACCATTATGATATTGACACACAAGTGAAAATTGTCATAACTTGTGCAGTGTTATATAATTATTTGCGAAAAGGAGTAATGAAATATTTATGGTCTATGATCATGAAAATATAGTTGCGGATGATATTAACCAAAAAATGACTCAAAGCAACAATGTTGGTTCGTCTTCTCAGTCACATGATCGGGAAATGCAAGTTCAACGTGAGGAAATTGTCATTATTATGTGGAAGGATTATATTAAAGACTAGTTCACTACAATTTATGTTCAATTTTTTTTATTGAATTAAAGTTTAATAAAACAGTTACTTAAGTGAAAAACAAATAGCTTTATAATAATTTATTATGCGATTTTATAATTTTTTGTTTATTCGGTAAGATTGAATAAACAATTAAAGACTATTTTAATAGTTTTACAACTTATGGGATTCTTATGGTTATGAGAAAATATATAATACAAAAATTTCATATCGCATGTCCAAACAAAACCTCAATTTCATCTCATGATTTCATATTATGATACCATATCATGATTCCATATCACGATACCATATCGTATGGCCAAACGGGCATCATTTCATCCTAAGACGGACATTGGAGTAATAAAAAAGATATCTTCAAAACAGTAACTACAGATAATTTAGAAGCCATCAGCACAACCATTGACAACTGGCCCCTAAAATAACCATATCTGCCGCACTGTAACAATCCCTCTAGGAGCAAAAGAGGGCACTGTGATGGTGCTCATTCTTATCTGTGATTATCATTAGCTACACGACACCCGCAACAGGCGGAGGTTTACATTGTAGGGTGCTAATCCCAACAACTGATAGCTTATCTTAGCATTTCAACACTCACTCTTTAAATGTAATTAGTATATACGATATAGAAACTCTTGATTTATGGATGAGTTTTATATATTTACAAGCCATATGCATGAATATGAGAGGCAAATTTTGCCATCTTTTCTAATAATTTTCCATTATAAGTAAGCCTCACAATATGGTAACTGCAGCTTTCGCTATTATAAGCCTCCTCACTCCAACTAGGAGTTAGTCTTATCATACAAAAGATCAGCTCGGAGAAGGTATTCGAAAGACTATATAAATTGCAAAATCCTATCATGAATGCAAATCAAGCTCATTCACAAACCTAAGATAACATGTAAAAAAACTAGAGAAGCTGGTAGCAACAAGGTTACATACCTCATAGGTCATGTTGTCAGGGTCAATTTCATCTTCCAAAATATCCTTCACATAGTAACAAAAGGTAAGAAAGGTGAAATTAGCATGCTACAAGTCAACGGCATCTTAATCTAGCCACTCATCAACTGATTCAAGACAATGGCGACTATTACACTGAAAACATTTGAAGAACAAGTGAATCATGTTTATTAGGATTTAAACTGTTTAAGACGCCAATAGAAATTAGTGAGACGGTTCGTTAGCAGAGTAGGTCAAAAAGGAGATCCATATATTGGTTTTCTAGCGAATCTTCCGTTATATTCTAAAGGTTCAAGAAGAAGGATGAGCGAAGTAAAAGGTCAAAGACTGATATTTTATGATGACCAACACTGCCTCGATCTTTCTGGTTGATGTGGCGAACTTCTGATGGTAAATGCAGGGTAATGCACAACAACATAACTTCATGATTGCGACATAAGTGTTAAGTGCAACTAGTGTGTGTACAGGACATCATTAAATTAGCAGAACAACATCCTCTTCTCTAAACAATCAATTTTTCCAGCAGTCCAGAGAACTAAAGACAGATAATGAGGAACTGACGACAAGCTAAGACAATGGCAATAATTCCAACAAAGAAAAAATGGCCAAGCTATCATCTTGATTACCTGGTGGTTAGAATCATCTTGATTAGATAGAACACCTGATGAATTGTGAAATATACGTTACATTCTGTAAAATAGCAGTATGTTATAACTATTTAAATAACACATAAACAGAAGCATTTCTACGAAATACTGGAACTTAACCAAACAGTAAAGGTCTTTAATAGATCATACACAATAAAAAGAAGGGGAGACCAGTAAAGCAAATTCATGATCCTATCTCACAGAGAGGAAGGTGAAAGCGTATAATGAAGCAATTGCCTAAATGTAGAGGTAAAAACTACTATAACATACAAAGTATTAGTTCAGAGGCAAAAACTAAACTGAAGGCAAATTGGGGATTTGCATCTCCTGCAACAGTAAGGAAAGTAAAAAACTAAATTCACTACAAAGTGCTAAAGCTTCAGACTCACATTCCTCCGTGCTAGCATCCTCCACGGGGACAGTATTTTCCTCGTATATTACATCAGTCGATACACCTTCGTGAACATTCATAGGTACAGCATACTCCCAAGGTCTCTCTGAGAAATCCGGTCTTGATACATGGTTGTTGCCATTCTCATAAGAATGATAAGAAGTACTCTCAAGATTTGAGTGTTCATATTTATAATAACTCATATTCATAGACCAATATGCATTTTCCTGGACAAAAGATTCAAACAAATGGTTACTCATTCCACCTAACAAGTTAAACAGAGCCTAGTATTTTCGACATGGAGCATAGATAATATGCGAAAAATCATTAAATTTTAAAAATATCAACAAGTTAAAGTTTAAATTCTAGATCCGGCTCTGTCACCTAAGAGTCCATTAAAGGGAGTGAAATAAACAGGTTATTATTCCCACTAAAAACCAAGCTACATAGATGTCTAACCCTTAAAGAGCATAAATTTTGTACTGGAGTATACTTCTACAGTCTCTTTTTTCACAAATTATATAAACTTTCAGTACAAAATCAACTGCTACATAGAAAGTTACAAAAACTTACCTGAATCTGTACAGGGTTATTATGATACTGTATTATAGGGGCTTGTGAAACACCATCCAAGAAGCCTGGGAAACTCTCTGGAACATTATAAGGAAATCCCATGTTCATATAATGCATCTCCTCCATGTGTTGATCCCCACTCATTTTCTTCACTGAAAAAAAAAACAACAACAAGAATATTACATAACAAACAGAGTGTTAACAATGAAGAAAAAAAAAAAAAAAGTAAGTCCATTTTTCCCCATTTGGCTCATTCTTGAAACAATGTACATATGGGCAAACCTTTTTTTTTTCTTGATTTCAAATGGGGGTTTTCTAAAGAACTCAACAATACAAGAAAACCCAAGTTGAAAAATCACCTGATTTTAAAAGAACTACAAAAAAATACCAGAAAAATAAAGAAAAAAACAGAGACAGACAGACAGAGAGATGAAATGCAGAAAGCAGAGAGAGTAGTAATGTGTTGATGGGTAAGGGAGCAGCAGAGGAGTGACCAAATTGTAGTGGAAAAATGGAAAGTGGATTTTGTTGGCATATATGTGCTGCTTTTTTTGTATAGAAAGAGAGTATATAGATAGATACATATAGATACAGTCCCCTTCTCTTTCTCTCTTTTGTTTGTCTCTCTCTGTCTCTGTCTTTGTCAGTCTCTCTCTTGCACACAGAGGGCCACTGGCGCTTATGCCGGGATTGAGAGACACGCCATCTACATCTATGTATGTATAGTTACTCCGTCTCATATTAGTTGTCCACATTTTTATTTACTCCATCACTTAAGAAATCATATATAAGACACGAGACAGTTGCCCCTCACTTTCAATCATAAAATTGCGAGTTTGAGTATTAATTAATTTTATGTCTTTAACGGGTCATAAATTTCAGGGGCATAATAAAAAATATGTTATTTAACTTGGCTTCAACTGGTGTCCATGTCATCCAACTTTGAATGCTTGAAAAGAATTAAACAAGTAGACACATACATTTTATGTGGCATAAAATATGTCGGATGTTATATAAGACACAAAATTGTCATATTAAACACGACGTAGGACGAATGTGTCTATTTTTTTGATATTATATACAAATTTTAAATGGAAAAAGGGTCTGATATACCTCTCAACTTTGTCATTTAGAGCTGATATACTCCTCATTATGAAAGTGGGTTATATATACCCCTACTGTTATACAAATGGCTCACATATAACATTTTCCTCTAACGGAAGTGAAAAAATAAATTTTGGTTTAATTTTTTAATTATTTTTTAAAAAATAAATAAATCCCATATGGGTATATTTAATCCTCCTCAAATATATATTATTTTTTTAACTTTTTTTTTTTTGTCTCAATGACTAATTCAGATTTATTATTTTGATGGTCAAATTTATTTAAGTTTCAGTAATATTCTTGTAAAATTTATTATAGATGACCAATTTTTTTTCTTCAAATATAAAAACTAAATTACAATATATCTGAAAAAAATAGTTTTTAATTTTTTCTTTACACTAAGGAATGAAAGAAAAAAATAAAATAAGAACAAGAAACTCAAATAATGATAATTAAGAAGTCAAAAAATAATTTATGTCCGAAAAAAATTATAACATACCTTGAAATTTGCTAGAAAAATCATATATACCCCTAAATGATTTTTAAAAAAAAAATCAAAAGTCAAAAATATAAATTTAAAACTATTTTTTTTCACTTCCGTTAAATGAAGGGTATATGTGAGGTCATTTTGTAATGGTAGGGGTATATGTGAGCCGTTTGTATAACGGTAAGGGTATATATGAGTCACTTTCATAACGAGGGGCATATCAGCTCCAAATGACAAAGTTGAGGGGTATATCAGACCCTTTTCCCATTTTAAATATCAACTTGTGCACATTCAAAACTGAAGGACATAGATATTAGCTAAGGGAAAATTTTCAAAACAACAATATTTTAGCTTTTAATGGGACTCCTTAGCAATAGTTTCACTATTTATTTAAAATGTCAATATTTTAGTTTGTTAAGGATTGAGTTATGTATTTATTTTATTTTGATTGATTTGAAAGAATACAAATAATTAATAACTGAATAGAGAAAATCATGGAACAAAAAATTTCAAAAAAGGTAATTTTTTAAAAAAATTTAACATTAGTTACGTTTTTGAAAGAGCATATGTTGCCATTTTTCTTTCTAGCGTTTTTTTCTTTGTTCTTAAGAATTTCATTTTTTTTTTTGGAAACAGTAGTTTATATTTTATATCTTATATGAGTGGAAGTGTTGGAAAATTTCTAATGCCCTCTGTTTTGGATATTTAAATGTTTGAACTTCTTTGAATATGTGTTCATCCAAAATGTATTCGAATACCTAATGATATGTATAACTAATTTAAAATACAAAAAATGTTGGTATTGATTTATTATGAATACAACTCTTTGGCATTCTAGTTCAAGTACAAAAATAAAGGCAGTTGTGTAGTATATACCAAAATATAAATACAAATTAGTTGTAGATCGAAATGATATTGAAAAATACAGTTGCGATGAATACATATATAATACATAGAATAAGTTTATTCAAAATAAATTGTATTTATGTTTCAATATCCAATTTTGTTATATTATTATTTCACTTTAAATTTGCAGAAAGTATTTTCTAGCTTAGTTTTTATTTCAAATATAATGTTGTATTTCAATATCATTTTGTATATCAAAAGCAAAATGAATACCAATAATTTTGTATTCCCCTTCTTGTGATGTATTCGTCGCACAATTTTATATATTATGTATTCATAAAATTATATTGCTTTAGCCAAATAAAATACAAAATATGTCTTACTAAGTTTGTATTTCAAATATCAGGTTGTATTTCAGTATGATTTTGTATTTCAAACGAAAAAATGAATACCAATAAGTTTCCATTTCCCTTCTTATAATGTAGTCGTCACAATTCTATAAATTATCTATTCAATCATGAGACATAGAATTGTGACGAATACATTATATACCTATTTAAATTACTACAAACTAAAAAAGAAATACAATGTTTTAAAATAAAAATACAAATGATGAGTAAAAGAAACAATTGACAAACAAAAATTAATAGGAATACAGTTGTGGTATGAATACAATTTTGTAACCTTCTTCTTTGACTTTGTCTTTCTTCTTCTTCTTCATCTACTATGTTCTGTTTTCCGATTTTTTCTTCTTCAAAACCGAATCTGAATCTGTATTCACTTGTGCATTAGTAACCCTATAAGCAAAATTCGAAATTATTAAATATGAATGTATAAAAAAATCAAAACAATCTACTAAATCTCAAATATGAAGACAAAATTTTTGATAATTTGAATTTTGAAATTATCAAAAATTAGAATGTATTAAATATCAAACAAAATAAACATACATATGAATTTCTAGATTCTCCAAAATCTGAAAAATTAAAAGAAAATCACAAAAAAAAAATTGAAAAAATTGAAAAATCATAACTATTTGATGAATAACTAAACAAAATCACATAAAAATTGAAAAATTCGACTGAAAATCCGTAATATATAAAATCGGTGACTTAAACATCAAATCAAAATGGATAATGGAAATTACCTTGTCAATCGATAAATCTGCTTGAATTAATAAATAGATTTCATTTAACAATAAAACAGATTTCTTGATGAACAACAATTTAGCACCTTGAAGAAAGATAAACTTGAAACGTGAAAGGTGGGGAAGAAACGTGAAAAGTGGGGAAGAAATGTGAATGGAGTTGAAAAAAGGTTAATGTATATAATTTGGTCCAATATAGGACTCTTTTCATAAATAAAATTAATTTTAAATACTAAAATCTGAATACATATTATTTTATAAAAATATTGTCATTCTGCCATTTTAAATAAATATTTTAAAGTGTTGTTATTTTGACTAATTATGTTAGGTATTATGACTTAATTGCTAATTTTCCCATTAGCTAAAGCCAAATTAAATAACATAAAATAAGAGGTGTGTGAAATAATGATCTCTTCATAAAATTAAGTATTTTGTGCCTATATATTTTTTAAAATTAATATAATATTATTTATTGATATTCCTTCTATAAAAAGGTTAAATAATGTATTTAGTTAAAATACAGTAAAAATTAGAGATTAACTCTTATTTTTTATATTTTTTTAATAGTGCATCATATTCTAAAAATTCTAAATTTGTGTGGAGTTGGGTAATGTAAACATGTCTGTTCTAATGATGTATTTATTGAAGTGTGAGAATGGATTTCATATAAACGTTTCGGTTTTTGTATGGTCAACATTCTCTTTCTTTTTTTCTTTTTATCTCAATATTTACTTGTATTTGTTTTAAACTTATATTTATAATAAAATACAATATCCTTCACCAGTTGGCATATTCTATATTTGGAAGAAAAATTACTCGGATTCTGCTTCTCTCTATTTTTTTCCTTCATTTTCTCCAAGTTCTTGTTTGAATGTGAGACATATGACATAGATAAAAATCAATGGCTAAGATTTAATAGATTAAAATAATAATACCATAATCATAAGTCGATAACAATATAATATTTTGTCCATAAATATATTATTTCTTTTTCTTACTAGTATTATCTTATGTTTTTGTCCATAAATATATTATAAAATAATTTCTCTTTTTCTAATTATTTTTTCCCTGCGAGTATTTTTTCTATTAATTATATGTAAACTAATTTCAATGTTGCTTTCTAAGACTTGGTATTACTTTCTATTAATTATATGTAAACTAATTTCAATAGCCAATTAAATTATTTTTCTGGGTGTCTTTTTGACTTTCCTTTTTACTTGACATTAAATTTTGTAGATAAAACTTTTTTAAAAATATTTACGACTCTACCAAAATCTAATAGCAAAAATGTTCCACTATTTTATTTTATTTTATTTTTGAAAATCTCATTTGATTATGCTCTTCCCTCTTTGTGTTCTTTATCGTCGTCGCCAAAGACTATTAAAATATTAAAGCCTAAAAGTTGTTTCTTTCTAGGATAAATTTTCTTCCCTCTTCCTCTCTTTTTTTTGTTGTTCGTTCGCTTCATATTAAATTAAATATGAACTCAGTAAAACTAAGTATTATGTATTTTGATTTTAAAAATTTTGGTGCACCTATTTGTAAGAAAAGAATAATTACTTACTCAATATTTGAACACCCTTCGTAAAAATTTTTGAACTGATGCTCGGTAGATCAATTGGTGTTATTAGCCTGGTTAGAGTAGGTTTTCAGGAAGAATGCGTCAACTAAGAAATTGGAGACATAGGCTAATTAATGAATTAACAGAAAATTATTTTCTAATTCTCCATAATGACAATTACATGTATCGAAAAACCTTCTTTGAAATTTTATTAGTTAAAATCTAAAGTTATAGAGGTTAAATTTGAATATGAAAAAATAAAGAAGTACTACGGGAAGCTATAAAATACTGTCTCCGTTCACTTTTACTTGTCACATTTTGACTTGGCACAACAGTTAGGAAGATGAATATTGATATATTTATTTTATCAAATTATCCCTATTAAATGATGTTTACTATTAAGCCTTGGAAAATGATTTGAAGAAAGATTATTTAATGTTGAGGGTAAACATGAAAAAATATTATTATCTTTTCTTGACATGTCAAAAGTGACAAATAAAAATGAAACTCTATTTTAAGAAAAAATAACAAGTAAAAGTGAACGGGAGAAGTATTAGAATTTGAGGTGATAGTATAATTTTTTATTGGATGCAAG